TTGCTGAAGACATTAGGTTTATAATACCCAGAAATTCATACACAGATGTCCTCAAGGACACATGGCACAGTGGATAAAGGCATTGGTTAGATCCAGTGAGTTCAATACACGGTTAAGGCAGTGGAGAACTTTCAGAGGGAAAATTAACAGGAGATAACTGATAGCTAACATCCATCAAACATGGCACGTGGAACTAGAACAATCTACCCCAGTGAGCGAAATAAAGGGTTCAGTTCGACATTCCAACCACCTGAAGAAGGCCGGAGCATACAACGGCTGAAACGTAGTGATAAATATGGCGACAAAGATGAGGACAATAGTCCGAATAATGTAAATAATGTACTCTTATTTAATACACTATTAAAGCACTGCCAGTAATCTCAAGAACCAAACTTGTTAGAGACTATACAGTGTCTCATTCTGTCAGCAAACAAAGACTTAGCTTCTTTGATGATGTTTCTTTGAGAATGTTAAGATTTTTTAACATTTCAGTGTATTCCAGGAAATATGATGAACAATCACATAATTCAATATAAATAGACAATCATATAATTCAATATAAATAGACTGGCAGCAAATCCAAAAATTAAGCTAGTACAACAGTAACAAAATCTATCCTTATCTTCTTTGATCTTAAATGTTATCATTAGAAAAAACTTCCTAATGTTTGCAAGAAATGAATATTTGTTCATATGGAATAACAACAATTTCAATATGTTTTCTTTGATGTTTAAGCTAGGGTAGTCTGCTTTATTTAGTGAAGATGCCTCATTTGTTTTAAGTGAACAATTAAAAATTACAGATACAAAAAGGTGTCTGTTGTGATTAGAATTATGTTGGTACAGCTGGAATAAGTGATTCCTGTGGGTTATAGTGGGTGAACAGAGTGATGTGAATCAAGGAGAAGATTGTGAGAAGGTACAGAAGCATTGATTCTGGCTTTTAAGAAGAAATCTCTGTGGCACAATTCTCAATTAGATGGTTGAAAATATCAATCCAAGAGGCATCTCTAAGAAAATCACAAAATAAATCCCAATCAGTACACTGATAGCAAAAAGGATTCTTGTAAATAGGCAGTTCCTGTCTAATAGATGACTCAAAAGGAATATCAACATATATTACAGCATGATTCAAATTGCCACGAGAGCAGAATTGTGATGCTCGACAAGAGCTAAAGAGAGGAGGTAAGGAACAAATCAAGTAAAGAAGAATGTTGAACAGATTTATTTGGGATTAGAGAAATCAACTTTTTGATTGAGATGCTAAGCAATGGAAAACATCTATGTGAAGGGGAAAGATTATATTGAAGCAAATGCTAAGCCTGCTGCTAGGAAAGTTGATTCACTATCATGTATAGACATTTTTTTTGCCAGAATCTGTTTTATATGTTCATAATTCTACCAATCATCCATGTATTGAATATTGCTGTCACATTTGATCTGGTGCTTCTACTATGTATTTAAAGATTCTTGATAAAATCCAAAGAATCTGCAATATTATTGATCCTGACCTGGAATCAGTTTCCCTCTTCCATAATATATCTTCACTGCATTTTATATAAATATTAATTGTTCTAATGAATTTCCCAGTTTGGTAATCTCAACTAAGCACAGTACTAGATTGGCATCAAGGTCTCATCATTTTACAATTGGTTTATGGGACTGGAAGCTTCTTGCACTTCTTGCTTGTGAGCCTCTGTTCCAGCTTATTGCTTTCCAGTCAACTTTGATCTTCAAAAATTTAAAAGCAGTATTATTATGTTTTTTAAATATTTTAATTTAAATGCAGTACTGTTATGTCTTCTATTCCTGTTCTTTTATTATTCTCTCAAAATAATGTTATTCTTTTTCTTATATTCTTTCACACTCAGTTGCCTCTTGCAGCTTAGTGGCTTTATTGCCTTGCTTGATGTAAAATGATTAAAAACAACAATAAAAATAAATTGTGATTAGGTGATATCCTGAGGGTACAATAGTTATTGTAACTTAAAGAGTAAGTATTTAAAGGAAGCAATATGAAAAAATTTAATAAAACTTAGTTGATGTAATATTTACAACAAAGCAATATCTTTTAGCAAGATAAAATATGCAAAATTCAATGTTATTAATAAGTATGACTAATACAATATTTTTTGTTCTTTGTTGGATAATATAGTTTTTAAATGAATCTACAAGATACATTAGTGACTGTTCATTGTAGAAAGTTCTTTTGTAGAGATTATCTTTCATTGACAGAAATACAAATGCAAAATTGAGAGCACAAAGAATTCAAAAAGATTTACTTCCAATGGAAGTCTTTATGCTGCAACTTCTTGTGGAGTGTAATATCATATTACATGTCAACGAGTAGATTAAATGAAACAGAAATTTGGTGTATTATAGTTTAAATACTTGACAATGATATCATGGTTTTCAAAGTAATGACAATTATAAAATAAGGAATTTAATATTGTATTTTTTGAACTAAACTAAATAGTTGAATGGGACACAAGTGTTTTTAAAAGTCATTCCTTTTAGTAATTATGGTTAGGTTATGATTTACATGTTGCTTATGTTTAGTTATATAATGTTTTAGTTTAACTCAACCAAGTTTTTGTTTGATACATAAGTTACCTAAATCAATTGTTTTGAAAAGAAATATATTTTTTAAAATTATCTGAGCTTATTTTTTATGATAGTTGTCATCCTCAATAGAATATAATTGTATTACAACAATGACCAACAGTATTTCATATGTATCACTGATACTTCTCACAAAACAACTGACAACTTCACATTGCATTATGATACAGCAAGAATGGATGTGAAAATGTGAGTAGATTTAATTCCCCAAGACATCATTAACAGCATTTAGCTGATAGAGCCACAATAAATTCGACTAGTGCTGTATATTGTTATATCTATATATATATATGAGTATGCATGTTACCTATTAAGTAGATGTTATCTTTGTTAACTACTTCCTGCTGTAGAATGATATTTAAATTGGTGAGTGTTGCAAGTTCATTATCAGGTACTTTTGGAATGCATCATTATGCTTAACTTGTTTTACAAGTATTTAGTGAAGTTTTCAATCCTTTTAATTACTGTGCCAAGTACAACAATTATATTAACATTTTCATTTTTAACTGCCAAAGCTCAAGTGAAGAAATCTGATTCATCTGATTTGATGCACAAGGACCATATACAGATAATTTTATTTTGTGCCTATCTGAAAATTAGAGCACAACTATTTGTAAGTGCTACTGAATACAATGTATTAATTTATTGAGTTTTTAGAAATCATAATTTTGTATTTTGTCTGAATGTTGAGGTCAGCTTGTTGAAGTGACCTCTTGAATTTATATTTATGCAAAATACCACAAAATATGAAATAGAAGTAACACAAAAACTGTTTTTATAACAACAATCAATCTTCATTTTATATACTTTAATGACATAAAAACAATTGTGTGATTAATCAATAGGAGGAGTTATGTACCTTTAACCTGAATTTATTAAAGTCTATTAAGAAGGAAATATTTTTATCTGAGTTCACAGAAAAAGAATTAGTTTAAACAAGAAATGTTCTTTGTCAAATAGTTGCAAAGTTGAAAGTTTGTGTGAAGGAAATTCTGGAAAGCTGAAGAAGTGTTTGATACAAACTTGTAGCATCAGAAGGTTTTTCAAGTAATATTACTCGCTGGTGAATATTGACAAGAAGAGTTAAGTTTGTTGCTGAAGAAAATCTTACTGGTTGGGTTCAGTCAATTTTTGGGATTTATTTACTTGCTGGGGGAACAACTTAGTGAGAGAATTTTTGTAATGTTTGTACATTGTTCATAGAAATTGTTGAATATAAGTTTGATTGAAATCGTATATGTGAATGTGCTTTATGTACATATATGTGTATGTGTGCATGTGTGATGGTGGTTTATAGGTGTTACAAGATGATATCTTGCCCTGCTTCGATAAACGGAAGTTACCATCACGAGTCCCCGACTCGAAATGAAAACTGCACGTCTACGCATAGGCTCGACGCAGATACTTCCGTTTGGGATAAATTAAAAAAAAAATGAAAAGAATTAAATCAACCAATCGGACCGTCTCCCGCGTATTCAAGAAATCGCCATTTGGAGCCGATAGGCGTGTATAAGTTCAACACGGGAAAGTCAAAAAAGGCAGTCCCATTCAACGGCGGAGGCAGAAGGGTCACGTCGCTCGCTCCTGACACACTGGCCCGGCAACGAAACGAAGCATGTGACCGCTGCTGCTAATAAACTCTCGTCTGACGCCTTGTCAAAGGGTACCTTTCCCCTTCCATAAGTTAAGTTAACTCCACGAACTTTACTTGCCACTACCATAGACATTCAACTTCTTAAATACGAACTTTTTACTTGTTCTTATTTTCCTCACTAAAAAGACTATAAAATATATCTACAGTCTTTCGATTCTGAATTTCATTGTTTGCAACCAAACGCAGTATTTCGCTCACATTGTTTTCACATCGCCCACGCATCTAAATATGGAATATAACATAGGTTTGCCCATAAAAGACGAAATGTGAGTTCTTTAGTTACTACATTTTGTATGTCAGAGAAGGCAAGAGATGCCAAAAGAGAAAGAACAAACTTGTGTCAAAGTATTTATAACCAACATGGTCACATGATAGGCTCCAGAGAGCATTTCTGATTTTGGCAGAAAAATGGTTTTGAATAATGCATAGGCATTGTTGCACACTTGAAAAGGTCAACTGTATGTACATCGGCGAGAACATGATTTTAATATTAACTGAGAAGTGAGAAAAATATCAAGGCTCTGTGATCCACTTTTTGTGTTTAATTTGCACAAAAATTGACATTGAAAGAAAGTGGTAGCAGAATGCTAAAGAAACATTTTTGTTTTTGTAAGGTTTTAATTGTTCTTTGAGAAAAATATGTCTGTAAAAAAAAAGTATACACGCCTTCCTTAGAATGAGAGTAACTTTGTACAGATATGATTTCATTAGTCCACTCTACTTACCCATGTTTTACAGCCAGTATTTTCACACTCTTGTGATATGCATTGATCAGCATAAACATTTATATCTACATCTGACACCTCCATGTTATTATTTTGAATTCTGAAAAAATGAGAAATATTTTATTTTTTCATGTTATTAATTTTGTTTACATTAGTCAGATTCAACTGTGTTTAGAGACAAAGTAATTTTTTGTTCATATTATACAGTATTCTAAGAAATTTACTGCAGAGTCACACACAAGATTTAACTATTCTTCAAATACAGCAATATCCAAAGTAATTCCTTCCCAAGCTAACAAACAACCAGAAGATTTAAACTTCAGTTAAACAACTAAGCATCTTTAAGATCCAAAATTAGTTGTCCAAAGAATATAAATGCAACTTATGTAATCAAGTGGAATATTTTACCCGAATTTGTAAATCCAAGAACAAATTCAAAATATCTGCTTTCCTTGCTACTTCATCGACTGTTTATTGAAAACTGTTTTGTAAGTAAATGGGAAAGTAGTTTGTGCTTTATTGGGCACTGATCACTCACAAAATTTCCTAAGCCACTTGTTGGTAAAGAATTGAACAGATTGAAAATGTTTTCCCACTAATGATATTATCTTAATGGTTACTACTCTCTAGTTATTGACTATTGTACAGACTATTGACAAGAATGCAAAAAAATGCAGCTGATTGTAGATGTGTATTTTTTCTAACATCAATGACTTAGTGAAAAATCTACTGAAATACAAAGTGCACAGTGGATTTATACAGTGCTTACCTTCAAATTCCAATGAGAAAAGATTATCCTTATACAGCCTACAAATAACTATATCATTTTCTTTTGCTTCAGTGTTACAAGCAGTATAACAACTTTCTCGAGAGTTATGGAACAGATTATTAAAGACAAAATCATAAAAAGAACTTTGTGTCTATTGACAATATATCAATATGTGAACAAATATGAAAACAACATGATAAAATGTTTGCTAAAAATCTTAACTTGATGCTTGACAACAATAACTGTATGACCAAATATGCATCTATCATCTGGGATATATCATTGTGATGGCAATAGAAAATTCAATTCTGAGTTCTGAGCAATTTATTGATCTACCAGTTTGAGTAAATAGGTCTTCCCTGCATAGTCATTCTAATATTCTCCCATTATTTAAGATGGGTACAGCGATTCACACAGAAGATCCATACATTAATGGTATCCCATGAATTTTTCCCAATAGAAGCCTTTATGAGTCTCAAACACTGTATTGCTAATGTGTTAGTTGCAGCAATTGATGCCCATTCCCAAGTAGTTGTTAAAACTGATATTCATTCTACACATTAAATATCATGTGTTCATTGTAAGTACAAACAGAAGTCATCTTCAAAAGTCAAAAAAAGAAAGACCTCAAAAATGTTACATTCCAAATTTGACATTTTCTGGTGTGCAATTATTATCTTACATCATACAATGTCTTAGTATTATGTGAAAAAATGTTATCTTTAAGCAATCATAGAATGTCAAGGAAAACAGTAGCACTTACATGTTTGGAAAATTCAGGGATGATAGTGAATTAAGACCAACAAGTTTAAGAAGATTATAAATGACATGCTCATAGAGACGAGTATTACGAACATGATGGGCTGAAGATAGATTTGGAGACATATTGGCCTGAATAGCAAAAAATAAACGAAAATAAAAGTAACAGAAAAAAAAATTATAAAATTACAAAACTGAATAGTCATCAATAGTAAACTTAGGATTAAAAGTTAGATTTTTAAGAAACCAATTTAAACCAAAAATTTAGCTAACCATGTGGTAAGTATTCTTAATTTTTTAAAATTATGATGGGGAATAAGATTTTTAGTAATCTTTCAAATTGCTATATGAAAATTCAAAACTATGTGTGTACATCTTTGCTTCAATGTTAAACATTTTTTAAATAAGTTATAAATAAAATCTTCAATTTTTATAAATAAAATCTTCAATAATGACCTTTTATCATGGTTGGTGTAATTGCTGATCTTTATCAATCATGAGTACATTTAAGACTCTGTTTACTTTAGAATTCTTTATTTTGATCCCCACCTATATGTTGCTTTTCTGATTCTTTAAAACAATTTTATTTTAATTCTATTAACTTTGCAACAATTGTTGAAAACTAAATTGTGTCTAATAAATATACATAGAGAAATTCTTTGCCCAAAATAATCCCTGTACTTACCTCCATCAGGTAAATGTTAAAATGTTCATCAAGGACAAAATCAAATCGAACCATTTCAAAAAAGTTCCTAAAAATAAAAAATCATGAAAAAGGATCTAAACCATAAACTATTAATTACAAAGTTAATTGTAACAAAATTTATAAGGAATATACTGAAAAGGAAAGCTAGAAAAGCATTCATTAGAATAGTTATATGGATTTTTATTTTCATATGTTAACTTTGATTTTTTTACATTTTTAAACATGGCCAGATCCATGGAGCACTATGAGAAACAAACTCATTTGCCATAGGTTAGTAGACTAGTATACTAATAATTAGAAATAGTGATAGTGTTCTATCATTGACAGTTGCTTTGAATAACAATTGGTACAACTCTAACTAGTCACTGTCTTCATCACAAAGCCACATATATTTATTTTCGTTCTTTTACTTTATTGATGGACTTGTTCATATAAGTGGCTCTGTAATGATCCCCATATAAAAGTGTATAATAATAGACAAAAGAACACATTTTATATCAAAAACCATGTGTACAAAAAACAGTATGATTCTGAAATAAAAATATTTTTATGGTAAAAGAATAAAGATAAAATAAATGTTCTATGAATTTTAAATTCCATCCAAATAAAATTCCTATTTTATGATTATAGTCAGAGTTAAAAAAAAGTTGGTGTTATGTATCTGTGTGAAAGTTTTCATCAAAGAAAAGTAATGTACAAGTGATAGATGAACAACCAACTACTACTAAGAGTGAGTAATAATGAAAATTTTACAAATTACAGTCACAAGTAATGTACCAAACAGTAAGAGCAAGGAAGTAGTAATTTGATCTTTTCTCTTAATTTTATCAAATTTATTTATCATTTTTTATGTAATCTGATGGGTTCCACTAGGCTCCATTAATTAGAAAGTCAGGTGTGTTCTCATTAGTTATTGGTTTTTGTCTTACATAATATATCTGTGTGACTTGTGGTCATTTAAGTACAGTATAGTGAAAGCTCCAAAAAGCTGAGAAGATAGGGGATGGATTTGAATTTGTTAGAAATAGTGTGATTGGATGATAAATACAAATACTTAGATGCTTTTAGCTCTACAATTGAAGTGATGTACTATCTAAATTAATAGTGACTTTTAACCAATAAAAAAGAAAAAAGCATATTGTAATGAATACATCAATCAGTAACTTTAATAGAATTTTTTAAAAAATAAATAAGTTAAAAAAATTACCTTGAGCTTTTATAGTGTTTTGTACTTTGGAAAATGTACTTTTCTTTTTCCAAGTATACATTTGTGATTGCTGCCTTTATTTTATTCCAGAAAGCTTCTGGATCCCTATCTGAAATATGCAAATAAATAACATCAATACAAGCAAGGGAAGATTTCAAACATCTTCTATTCAAATTAATTTCACAAAACTCATAAACTAACATATGTAGCAATTTTCTGAAATGACCAGTGCAGACTCTCACAAGCCTACGATCTCACCCTGTCTCAAATAACTTTAACTGAACAAAAGAAACACATGTATGTATCTTTGTGTCATGAGACCTGCTTGCACCAGACTCTTTCACCAAAGCATCATAGAACATATCACTGTCTAAAGCTCACATATACACAATACACTGGTATACACTGGTATAAGTGTTACATCACAAAATAGCCACAAAATTTTATAAGAATAACTATTATCACCTAGCATGCATACACTGTACCCAGGTCAAAATCAGCATCCTCTTTCAAGATGTTGAATTTTATTTTCTGTTAAAGTATAATTTAATTGTTTTCAGTATTTTAGGCCTACATTTTTTTTAATCATAATGCTAAAAAATAATTTTTTCAGATCAAACTATTTCTCCACAACTTGTAAACAAAAGATTTTTTGGAGAAAATTAATTTTTTTAAATATGCAAAAAAAGATTTTGAAAATATTTAAGGAATTGAATTGAATTGGATTCAGATGATTGCTACCTAGTTATCCAAACTACTTGACAATAGAAGAGTTACAATCATGTCTATATTAAAGTTGAACATGGACAAAAAAATATCTTTAATTCTTAACAACAACTCTTTTACAAGATTTTATTTAGCTTACAAAATAGAAACAAAGCAAAAATCTTACCTTGAGATCTTAAATAATAATTGAAAGACTCTTTGAATGAATAACCCTGGTAAAACACTTTACTGAATGTTGGCATCTTCAGAGACATAAATGGAAAGATACAAAATTACATTGGAAAAAAGAATGGAACTTTAAAAAATTTAGAAAATTCTATTAAAAATCAGTTAAATACAAATGAGTTAAACCTTTTCTTTTAATCAATATCACATTTCTGTTTGGTTGAACAATTACATACTTTGCATAAGCATTATACAATTCAGCAATCATCAGGATTATTTGAAACTTATCACATGATTATAACACACATTTGGAATATTGTGTTATAAATAATATTTTTGTGTAATAAATAATATTTTAAGTTATTTAAGTGGCTTTATCAACTGAAATTAAATAAAAGTGTTAAGTTGTTTTTAATAACTTGAAATAAATGAGGCAGAACAATTATAGTCTCCATTAAGTGTGCAGTAATATAATTTGCATTTCCTTTTCAGATGGGGTCTACAAGTCCAAACAATTTTTAGGACACTGTAAATTAATTCCCATTGAATGTGTTTAATCAAACTGTTATTCTCATATTCTGTTTTGTTTATCATATTTCTAGATGAATATTATTCATCTATAAATTATATCATCTATAAATTCTCTCTCCTTACTTATCCTTAAATTACTATCTCTTTAGTTATAATTGAATAATTTTAACAATTGTGAACTGACATTTAATTTAACTGGATAATGAAGTGTCATAGCATACATTTTAAAATTATTAAAACATTTTGAATTAAATAATTTCATATTTAATGCATGAAAATACATTAATTTCACCAATTTTTGTAAAAACCAATCATCCAGACTAATTTTTGATTTAGCCTAATATTAAGAGAGCAAAAACTGTGGGAGTAAAAACAACATTGGAGGTTGAACATTTCTGATCCCAATCTCTCAATCAGTTTCCCATGTATTGTTCATCATACAAGAGAAAATGATATCTTCCAAGATATCATTTTCTCATTCATTTTCTTGGTGAAGTATGTTGATGTATGCTCATAAATCCAAAGCATCATATTTGGTAACAATTTTACTAAGGGATGAAAACCTTATACTGCAGTAAATTAAAATGAAAATTTTGCTTGAACTCAAAGGAATCTTACAATATACTCAATATGACAGCTGAAGACGGTACTATAGAGACCATATGTCAAAACCTTATTTTATTGACATTGGATTTTATTTGCAACTGACTATGGATTTTATTTGCAACTGTTTGGAAAGGTAAGGTAATAATGGGAGAGTGATTTTCCCAAGTCCTCATTCATACACTCTTCTCTATCAACTCTTGTGGCATGCCAGTAATAATACATTTTCCAGGATCTTTTGTGAAGGAACAGTAAGGGAGAAATGAATTCATCTCTTTTCCAAGGGAAGTGAATATAAAAAGCTTCTGCTACAATTCTAACCAAGTGTAATGGTAATGGTAATATTAGCTGTTTCCTTATGAGAAAACATTCAGCATTCATTGACCAGTGCTGCTGTCAATTGAAATTTATAAAATCTTTCTCTTAAAACAATTTTTTAGGGTAATAGGTTTCTCAAGTCCAGTAGCTGTTATTGCTCTTTCCAGTACTGGTTTGTTCCAGTACTATATAATAGGGTGAATTCACTGGATTGATATTTATGTGACAGCTGAATGGTGATTTGAGACAGGATCTAGTTCAGAATGGGAGGCAGAAAAACTTTGGGAAGATGAGTGAGTATCCTTTGATATATTGAGATCTTCATTCAGTCAGCTTTACATGATTTATATAATTTCTTACTGTCTTTACTGCTCTAGGGTGATTTTTTATCATATAAAAAATATTTTCATATGCTTAAGAGATATCAAATAATATGTTCTCAAAAAAATTTTGTTGGCATGTGGAAAAATTTTGTGTCAGAGATTTGGCTGATTTTAGCATGCGCTATCAAAAAGGTTGCCCACTCCTAACCTATGTAATCAGCATAGCCTCACCATCAATACATTGGACTCAGGAGGGTAAGCAGAATTGCTGCCTTTTATCAGTTGATAGGCAAGAATTCAAAGTCCATTCAGTGATGGTGGAACATCACTAGTTTTGTTTCTGAGTCATTGAATGTGACCAGCCATTTTTCCCCCCATTCAGTTGTTTGAGTTAAGTTAGAGGAGAGATCAACTGTCGGGCTCAGGTCATCTAGGTTTGGTTTGGTTTGTTTTAGGACATATCAATCTCAGTGGGTTATTAATGCTGAAAACATTTTATTGCTGGTAATATTTTGTTTGTCAAAAATCTATTTCTGTTAATATTTTTCCTTCAAAAATGTATTGATGGTAATAATTTTTTCCAAAAAGTATTGCTGGTAATATTTTTTCCTCAAAAATGTATAGCTGGTAATATTTTTTTCTTCAAAAACATTGTTGGTAATATTTTTTTTTTTTCAAAACTTTATTACTGGCAATAATTTTTTTACAAAGTATTTCTGGTATTAAAACCTATTTTTACACTTTCATAGTGTTTTGAACCCAGTTTCGGGGTTAACTATTTGCCTACAGCTGGGACACTAACAGGTGCTACCACCCCAGGTCAGAGTGGACCTGGGAACACCAGCAATTAAGAGGTGGTTTCATGCTCCTCAAAAACTCCTGATCAGACACCTTGCTGCTGGACATAATTTGTCGTCTTACCCAGGACGCAGATGTAGTTTATCGTCATACCCAGGATGTCATCTAGAGATTTGGCAATGCACTCATATACTGTTGTATTATTGGCATAGATGTTTACAAATGATTGGAGTGTATTCCTAGGTTGATCATTTATGTAAAGTAAAAAGACAGTTGGACCAAGAAACAAGACTTGTGGGACACTCCTTGGAGGACTGGCCATTAACAACTAACATCAGGGAACTACCTGTTAGGAAGGACTTGATTATTGAGAAGACTTGTCTAGCTGTAGAGTTTGTACAGCAACCCTCTATGCTCCATCTTGTCAAAGGCCTTTGAAATAATGTGATCATCCTTGAGATGTATTTATTGTCTAGTGCCTCACTGTGAGTAATAACAGTTATGATATCAGCAGTGGACCAAGCTGATTGAAATCCTTAATGTTTGTTGCCCAAGAGGTTGTCCTTATTAAGGTGATCAACAACCTTCTTGTTCATTATAGCTTCAAAAAGCTTGCTAATGACACTGAGGAGGCTGATGTGTCTATACTGGGACAAGGTTGAATGATCACTTGCATTCTTGAAAACAGGGCCTACACTTGACACCTTTCACAGACTTGGGAAGGATTTCTCCTTCAAGCAGTAGCTAAATAGTTTTGTTAAGATCAGGGATAATTCAGGTTTAATATTTTTAAAGACAACCACTGGGATTTTATCTAAATTGGTAGCCTTCTTAGGATCAGGACTTTTGATAAATCTTGAGATTTATTAGGTTGTAATAAAAATATTACTTGTAATAATTGTAATTGTCATCCAAGATAGGGGAAGTCATAAATGAGATGGCCTTTTTCATCTAATGTAGAGTTAGAGGTGATGAGTTTTATCTTATTTGATGAGGATGAGATGACCTCAGTTCTCTTTATGATTGTAAGCATTGCCACTTTGCCTCAGTTGAGAATTTGGTTGGAGATTTTCCAGAACTCTCAGGATTCAAGTTGTTTTCTTTCAACCTTAGCCTAGACTGCTTGTGCATAGCTACACTTTGTATGTTCTATAACTTTCTTGCAATGATTGTGAGCATTTCTAAATGCAGCAAGTGTTCAATTATGTTGTTCCCAGTATAGATATTATAGTAGAAGTTATGGTTAGCTATGGCTGCAGGTGAACCAATGCTGGATGTTCAGTTTTTGCTTGAATTTTTTTCTGGGGAATAAAACTCCATTCCCAAAAGGATTCATTCCAATATGAGGGCAGTAGTCTTGGATGCAGTATGTTTGAAGAAGGTTGATAGAGGAGCTTTTGCTATGTAAGATCTGAAGCTGTCCTAGTTGATTTTAGTGTACTGAAAAATCATTTTATGGAACAGAACATCAGGGAATGCTTTTGGTTTAGCATAGACTTTGACACTGACTTGTGAAGGATCTAAAGTGCCCAGGGGTGGGAAGTAACACTTTAGCAGAGCATTTTTCAGGGCAGAATGTGAGGGGGAGGTAAAAAATGTTCATCTAATATCCTGTTGCATTGGGAACATGGGCAGGCTCTTCAATGATTTGTGTCAGCTCATAGTTGACAGAAGTCTTGGCAATATCTGTCTTCTTCATCAATTTTGTTTGAGGGGACAAACCACTTTTTGTGGTGAATACTGAAGTCACCACAAATATGAAAGCTAAGTGAGGAATAATCAGAGAGGAAATTATCAATCATCTCAGCTATTTAGTTGAACATTACAGTTCTGTCATTCTGAGGACAATAGAGAGTGAAAAGAAAGTAGTACAGTATACAAGTGCTACTCAGAAGAACATATATGGGAAGTTTTTGGGATCTCTGCCAAATGGGAACCAGTTGAGAGGACCCACCAGAGACTATTGCATAGTCAAGAACCCAGTCACAAAATGGTAATACACTTGCTGATAGGATAGCCTCCTCCAAAGTTGTTCAGAGGTTTGGATCCCTATCAAGTAGGTAATACTAAAACCGAGAAAACATTTACCTTAACACCCTTAATGAAGAAAAAATAACCCAGGAAAGAAGATGCAGGTGTAATACCCTGACATGTCTTGTCTACCCATAAATCAAGAACAAAACTTCTTGTGCCAGAAATCTCATACCGGGGTGTAGGTACTAAGACAAACTCGCTCATATATGTGACTAAAAGACTCACTGGCAAATAAGTATTTGTGAGCACAGAAAAAACAAATATGTAAAGTTTTAACTTTTTGTTGCACCCTAATGAAGTGAGAAAAATGGAAAACCCAACAGGTGTTATTTTCCTTATTTATATCCAAGGAAAACTAACTCACATGGAGTAGAGAACAAAAGAAAACACAAGCACTAACTGTGAGTTTCTTACAGTTACTCAAATTATATTGGTGTTGGCAACGTGCTGACTGAAGAACAGAAAATATACATTCCCAATATATAACATTCATTTCAACTAAGGCCATGACAGAGGATTGGGTGGTATTAGATTCAAGAATTAACAAATAATGCAACTAAGATACATTGGTAAATGGAAAGGAATATTCAGATTTACAAAAAAATTAATCAAAATCCCTTGAAGTAATATAGGAAAGGAAATAAAATTTAAACTTTCAGAAATGCCAATAGATTAGGCCATTTAAGAACATTCTTCCATAGATGTATGGTAATTATTTTTTTAATTAAATTATATAAGAAATTATGCAAAAAGGAAAAAAATACAAAAAAATTAAATTTGAAAATGAACTTTAACACTGATCCTGTGAGTCTCTCACACTGATCCTGTGAGTCTCTCACAACTGGATATCTTGATATTGGTAACTAATAAAGATATGATAACTTTATTTGATTTCTCTATGTTGTTTTGATCAGGATTTATTGACATCAATTTGGTGCTATTGTCTGAATCATTATTATACTATGATTGTAATTTGTATGGTCTGTTACATTCCTCCTTACTGTTACATTCACAACATTTGATTGTCAGATGCTCTTTTATCTCACTATCATGAATATAGAGAGTTGAGTTTTATTTTTCATACAATTTGCTTATCTTTGGTATATAATTGTAGTGGATTGTCACCATTATGTAGGGGTGTGTACTACATATATTTATCTTTTGACTAGGAAAGGTGTGATTAAGGAAAGCAAAGATGCTGGAGGTCCAATGTGGCATGCACAATGCAATTTATATTTGACATAAAATAGCACATTGTATAAAATACAAAACAGAATGTAATTATTCAAAACATAACAATTGAATTTATTCGTGTTTGGGTGTACATACATATAAGCTGAAGGTTTGATAGAGTTATGTCTCTTAGATTTGGAAATATTTGCACCTGAGCTCATAAAGTGAATTAATTATTAAACTGTAGTTTAGAAGAATAAAGTTCCTTTAGCATGTTAGGAATTGTGGATTGGTAAGAGTTCATAAAAGATTTTAGGTTTCATACTTGCATGAAATAGTAATGTTCTTTAACGTCTGACTGCATGGTCAAGATGGGAGTTCTTGAAGATTACATCTTGGCAGCAAGGATTAAGATGAATGAAAAACGAAGAGAACACGAGGAAGCTTATTTGTGTTTTGTTTATATATGGCTGTGTATCACGCGGGAGGCTCAGAAGCTTGTGCGTGGGAAAACAGATTTGTCACATGCAGGCGTTTTGATTGGTCAGAACTGACCAATCAGCGAGCTAGTTTTGAATAGATTAAACAATGAATGCTTGTTGCATGATTTCTATATACTGTGTGTATGTAATGGTGATGGTGTGATTCTACATAATTATAGTGAATATTTCAGATTGATAACTCTCAAAATATTGAGATGTTTTTAAGAAATTCATAATTGGTATAACAATTTATTTGAACAAGAATATTTTTTGAAAAGTGAGATGAAAATATTACTAATACAAGATAAAAAATATGAAAGTATGTTGAAAAGTTCTTGTCTCAACTGACTTCCCAAAATTTGGTTAAATGACCAAACAGCAATAATTTGTTTAGAAGAGCTTCTTGATTAGGCCAATAATTTTCAGTACACCCGCATGTTAAAGCCAAAAGATTAATACATTTTCTAGACTTCAGGATGATCTTTATTTGTATCTGTTTAATTCGGATTAATTAGCCTCACACACAAACTTTGACTGTCAGGATTAAGGAGATGAATAACTGGATCCATTAGTGAAATTCATGAAAATTTATTTTGTGATGAGATTGAATCAAGTGATTTCACTAGATTCCAACTCAGAACTCATGAAATATATTCAACAACTTTTACTTGTCAAAATAGCCCCATATCCCAATGTTCTCAATATAACTTGATAAAGAAACTGCTTGCTGTAGTTGTAAAGAAAAGAAAAAGAAAAAAAAAACTGTCAACTTATAGTAGCAACAAACGTTTGCAATAGATTTCTTCTGTCTCTTAACAGCAACGCTTGTAGCCAAATCACAGTTCAAATGACAGTCTATCGTAACAGTCCAACAAGCAACATAGACACTACAAAATGGGGTCACACATCCAACCTTCACTTCTCACCAGCAAAAATGCATGTTCGTCCACCAAGCTTGGAAAATCTAATGCCGCATAAGCGAAAAACAACAGCTTTTGTTCACCGACAGATCTTTCTGATTGGTCACGCTATTCAGGGGATGGAAGAACATTAGCATAGATTCTGGTCCTTAAAGTAGATTTTTGATAACTACTTTTTGGTAATCTTTCTTCGGCAGATCACACAAAAAATATGAACTCTTTTTCGAGGTAGCTGATTATCTCTTTCACTACACTTGCTAAATATCATTAAGAGAAAAACTCATTAAGGCCTATCATGTGACCAAGGTGAAGAACACTGGTAGCATGGTTAGTTAATTGTAGGTATTGCCAGATTCATAAGAATTAATCAAAAAATGAAACTTACCTCCCACATTGGGGTATAGTTATCACCCACTACATATTTGTCAGCAATAGATGGATCAAAAGGGTAGTATTTTTCTGGGCAGAATCTACAAAAAGATAACTTATTCAATATTAATATAAAAATAAATGATTTATTTATGAACTGTAATATCTAAATATACCAAAGAATAGTACACGTTTTGTGAGTGTTGGAAATAGGAAGGAAAACTTGATTGAAGTATCTTTGTTGTTTATACAAATGATTTCACTACATATAAAATCAAACTGAATCCAGGAGACAGGAAGCTTACAATCTCCATGAAGAAACAAGCTTGATTGCAAAAAGTAATTGACAGTTGTTGATTTATAACAAATTGTGTTACACTGGTGGTTTGATACCTAAATCAATGGTTCGGATCATGGTAGATGGTGGTTTGATTCACAAGTCAGTGGTTCAGGTCATGGGAAACAACAATTTCATTCACAAGTTAGTGGTTCATGGTGATGGTGGTTTGATACACAAATCACTGGGTCGTGTCAGGATAGATGGTGGGTTGATTCACAAGTCTTGGTTCAGGTTACAGTAAATGGTGATTTGAATCACAAGTTAGTGGTTTGGGTCATGTTAGATGGTTATTTGAGTTATGGTAAGTGATAGTTTGATTCACAATTCAGTGGTTTAGATCATGGTAGATGGTGTGTTGATTTGTGTTGATCAGTAAATTTTTATACAGCTTTGCACTAAGTTGTAATGAAATGTAAATGTAAGAGTATGATCATAAGCATATGGAAAAGAGACACTCTGTATAAACTCAAGTAGTAATGATGAGGAAGGATTTTGTGAGTAGCAATTGTAAGTTATAAATACTAATATGAAATATCACAACAATAATGTTGCCAATAGGATCACTTTTTTAGCCATGGTGGACCTTGTTTTGTGGGTACAAGCTTGAGGTGTAAGTACCAGAACCAAGAAGTTGAAAGACATCAAAGCTAAAAGGGTAGAAAATGAAGTAACAGACCTTTTTATGGTGAATACAGGAGTTGTTGCTATAAGAAAAGTTTCAAACAGCAATACAAAATACTTGAGCAACTTCAATTATGAAACATGACTACTTTAATAAAATATATACAACAGCTGAAAATGATTGAGAAATTCAACAAGTCTGAAATTCAACAGGCAGATTTAGAAATTGCAAATACATATTTATTAAAGGGAACAAAAACTAATGCCAATAATATGGGTATTTACACAAGAGAAAAAAAGAAAAAGTGAAAAATGTATGAAAAAAAAAACTCTTTCAGAGTAAAAAAGAAATGTTGAGATGAAAATGAGAGAGAAATATTTTCATTGGAAGAAAAAGAAAAGAACATTCTAATGCAAGTTAAAGAAAATCAATTTAAACAAGCAAATGGATGCAGGCAATGAAGTAACACTCTTGCCCAGAAATATTGGCAAATGACTAAGAAAGCCAAAATTGTGAAAGACTTATCTACAGTTTCAACAATTTGATGATTCAGTTATATAAATGCGAGGATACTTTGAAGGATCCATTAAATAATACAAAAGATTTGAAATAATAACCATGATTATTGCAGACTGAAATAAGCAACATGGACTTCTTGGAAATGATGTTATGTTGTTCCCAACTACAACTATCAAGCAAGAAAATGTTGCTGGTACAGCAATGGGACCCATTAGAAATAGTGAAACTGAAACAATTAGTAGAACAAGGACTTCTTGAATATGTTCTACCTGGTGGTAGTAAATTGGCATTGCCTATTGTAGTTTTGAGAAAGGTAAATAGAGACATTTAAACATGTGGGAATATAAAGTTTGCTCAAATTTGTACCCAATACCAAATATTGAAGTAACATTATCTTTGTAAGCATGAATAAAAGTTTATACAAAGATAGACTTGAAAAGAGCTTATCAGATACCTATATATGACTACTACAAAGAAGAATGTTGTATGGAATAAAAACAGTTAGTGGTATTTTTCAAAGAGAACAAGTCATTGGAGGCAATATAAAAAAAAAAACTATATTATCAAGGTAACATTTGCATAGGAGTCAGAAATGAAATACACCATAAAACGAAAAATGAAATTGTGTTGTGAACATTAAGAAATGCCATAAATATTAGCAGGAAAATGTGTACACAACATCAGCAAAATATAGTTTGAAATATTCTATTTCAAAGGAGGAAGTGTCACCAGATCAAAAGCTAATAGAAAAAATACTGAAAGTATCAATACCAAAAATTAAAAAAGAACTGGCATCTTTTTCCAGATTAGTAAACTTTTATAGACAATACTTACCAGAGTATATAGAATTGACTGAGCCATTTGCCAAAAAAAAAAAAAGAAAAAAGTGCAACTTGTATGGGAGAAGACCCAACAAAAATTAACACTTTCTAAAAGACTAGTAGTCAAAATATTTGAACCAACTAAAGATATAATATTGATTACAGATTATAGTGAGCATTCAAAATCAGGAATACTATCATAAAAGGGCCACTCAATAATCTATCAAGAAAGCTGAACACTGAATTGAATTATTCAAACATTGAAAAGAAAGCTTTGGTAATGGATGACCACGAGAGTCAAGTCAGTTTGTAATTAGGAAAAATTCTGTTAAGATTTAATCATAGATCATTAGAATTTATATTCAATCTAAAGAAAAAATAAAGTAATAATGTTGAGGATTTTAAGGTGAGCAATAAGACTGATGGTATTTGATTTTGATATAGTATAGGTCAATGGTTACTTCATACCAACTGTTTTTGTTATAAACAACGGAATAAGTCTGCTTCAGTTTTTATTTGTATCATGGAGCAAATGGTATCAGCAGGTGCACATCCTCAGCCTTTTTGAAAGTAAGTGGATTTCTTCTGTACAAAGGAATCAAATGTGGATGCACACACAAAAAAAAATTAAAGGTACATTTCTGCACTGGGTAGAGACTGATGTCTTATCACTAGAGAGAATGACTAAGGAAACTATGCAAGACCCAGTATTGATTAGAATAAAATAGAGAATGAAAAAGAACAGATAGAGTAATTATACTCAAGCTGAAAGACCATACAAAGAGGTAAGACAAACTAAGGTGGCCAGTCCTCTTTTTGATCAACACAGGTATCCTCCAGAATTCCCTTCTCAGTCCAACCCTCTTTCTACTTTACAGAAATGATCTGTCTCAGTGGAGAAAAACCGGCTGGACACATTCAATGCCTTGGAAACCAAACTAATGACATTCCATCATCACCAATTGAACACAGAACATTTACCACTTATAATAAACGGATGTTCCATCAGGGAGGCCTCATGCCTTGAGTGTCTAATGGGACATGACAGACCTCGTGAGACTCATACATATGATCCATCATTAAAGATGTTGAAAAAAATTGTTGTTAGTTCCCTGTACTGCTCTAGTAAGTACCTGACTACTCCTGATATCCTCTACCTTTACAAGAGCCAGATCAGGCTGAAAATGGAGTACTGCTACCATATCTGGGCAGAAGCTGCTCAATTTTCACTTTTCAGTCACAATAGAGTTGAAAATCATTTCTGCATCCTTGTGGGTGACAAATTATTTTCCACCCTACAAACACATTCTTTCTGATGGAACATTGCAAGCTTCTCACTGCTCTGTCACTCTTTCCATGGAAAGTGCTCAGACAAACTACATTCCTGAGTTCCACCATTTCTAACCCTCACAGCTAAGACCCACGATGCCATGCACATTGTAGTGAATTACCCTCTTTCCCTTCATATTCCACTCAAGCAGCTTCTTCCAACAAATTGCTGCCATGTGGAACCGACTCCCAAGAGGATGCTTCCCCAATCATGACAATCTTAACCTGTTGAAGTCTATGGTTAACCATTTTCTCATATATCTCCAAAAACTGTACCTCTTTATAACCCTCTACCTCAAGTGGCTCTTGAGCCTTGTACAGGGTGAATATCATTGTAAAAGAAAAAATAGCAGTTGCACAAAAAAAGGCTAAAGTTAGAAGCATGGTGGCCAGGATATTCAAGAAGGAATATGTAAAAAAATGTCCCAATTGTAAAGAAATAAGAAATTTTGCACAAAGGAAGTTACTTTTATGGCCTAAAGAGTTGGGTCCATGGAACAGAGTTCACATATACCTTGTGTACATTGACAAGGAGGGACTTTCTTTTTATTAATAGATTCATTTTCAGGATGACCTGAAGTAATTCACCTATCAGACAAAAGAAGTTCTCTGGTGAAATGTGTTAAGAGTCATATTTTCAAGAAATCAAGTCCCCAAAACTTTAGTATGCAACAATGTTATGATAGGTAGGATTTAGGGTGTACGTGACATCCCCATATCACCTTCAGTTGGATTGTATAGTGGAAAGGACCATACAAACCACATAAATGGGCCTAAAAGCAAAAATGGAAAATGGAAATTTTTCTACTGAGAGTGTTTCAGGATCCTACTGCACGCTGGAAAACAAGAGAACCCATCAGCACTGATGAGAAGATAAATCAGATTTCCCCTAATGATGTCACATTCTATAAATGAAAGAATGTCATACAGAAAGAAAAAAGAATCAAGTTCAGAAAAAGCAAACTTTCTAATGCAAAAAAGAAAGAAAAAAGTCACATAATACAGCCATAACAGAAAAACAAGGGAGCTGTATACTAGCCCATGCAGATTAAATAAGATCCCAAGATGAAGATGCAGAAATGGATGAACAAATATCAAAAGGTATAAAGAATAGTGATCATAAGGAAAATAATCAAGATATACCTATACAAATGAAAACAGATGAAAATGAGGGGGTGTGAAAATCTAGATCTTCAAAACAGTTATGAAAAGTATGATGAAGATCAATTAAATGAAGATAACCATGAATATTAAAGAATGTGATACAGATCAATTCACAAGGGCTGAATATTTCCTGGAGAGGTTTAATAATAGTCACTTGTTATCAGTTAGATATCACTAGTCTAGTGACATAGAATGAAAGAGATGAGTCAAAAAGAGATTCCCAAAGAGTGAAAACATAGATGCAGACTGTTTTTTTTATTCTTCCTTCCTCTCATTGTATATAATTGCTCAAATTCTGATCACTGGACTAAGATAATCAAATGTTGGGAAGGAAAACTACTTAAATTCATATTTTGTAGAAAAGATAAATAAAGTTAACATTTGTCTTTTGTAAAATATACTTTGATATTTTAACCAACTTCAACCCTAAATCTATACAATTACTACCTTGGCTTGAGAGCACCAACATTTAAACTATTCAGTAGAAAACCTTTTCAGGATAAAGATAATAGATGTGGACTAGAGAGGATTTTCAACTAGGAATAAAGTTTCTTGGAGTAATCAGTGTCCAGGGTCATGAGTTTCCAAATCTACAAGGCCGTCCTTTAAGAAAAGATAACCAATAATGGACATGAGTAGGGATACTTTTCCATTTGTCTCAGCTTCAACCAGAGTTCTTGACCCTGGAGTATTGTATTTGTTTGCCTTTTATCAGTGGAGAGTCCAAACTGAGGAATACTATCTCATATCTGATGCTATGACAAGGATTCTTGACCCTGAGTTTAACACAGAAAGACACACAATACATAGTGTGACACTAGGATAATCCAGACTATCCTAAAAAGTAGATTAGGAAAGATTACAAGTGAAGGTGTGTCAGTTTTGGTTGTTTGAAATAAAGGAATATAAATATCATTTTAATAATTGTTGGAAAATGAAATTTAATGGAGATTTTAATGATCTTAAAATAAATCAACATAACTTTCTTGATTGTGCATATACAAACTCACTGACATTTAAACAGTTAAAAACTATTACATAGAAGTTTATCTGTTTTAGATGACTGACATCAATTAGTTAAGAGTTATAACCAATAAAATAACCAAGGATGAGGAGTCTGCACTGATTATTTCCATTTTGGGATAAATATGTATTTATATGATCAAATGATGAGAATCTTCAAATTTCTCTGGTATCACTAATTTTAGGCAAAATTCAGTAGAATCTGTTTACCATATAAAGGCAACTCCAAGAGAAGCTCAGGCTAAGCCTAACTTTGGTTACTTGCAATAACAATTTGAACCATAGCTTGGTCAACTACAGGTTTTATCTGTAAAAGCTTTATCTGGTCTTCAATGTTAATGTTCAAAAAAACTTTAATCCAAGACAGTACTTGTTCTTCAATTTAACCTGGAGTAAATTTGTTCTTGTTATTATAGGATTTTTGATATTTTCTTCCTTCTGTTTTGGCTTTTTTATTTTTTTAACTAAGGCAATTATGAATTATATGATTCCTTTAGAATTGTATTTTATACTCTATCACTTGTTGTGATAGGTAGTAGTTACTATCTTGATATTTCTGTTTTTATGCTATTAAAAAAAATAAAAATTAATATTTTTAATATTGTCATTTTGAAATATTTACCTTTCAGATATTTCTGCAGTTTATGCTAGCTTATTTTATTGCAACATGCAAATAATCAATTTTTTATATACATGCATAATATAGAAGTTGCAAATAATGGAACAGGGACATAGCAAGACTATACTGGGTTCTTTAAGAGAGCAGGATGAGAAAATGTATGATAGTTGCTGAGGGCCAATTAGTAGAAAGCAAATAGATTTTAGTGATAAAAATAGGATGAATATTAAGTCACTTCTCAATTTTGCCAGTAAGAACATTCAATAAAACTATATCATCATTTTCAGTGAAAATTTATGTAAGGAATACTTGTTTCTGTTTTGTAAATTACAATGGACTTCTAAAACTATTCAATGTGTGTACATCCTGTTAATGAAACACCTTTGTTTTGATTATATTACCAAAGTTGCATAACTGAACCCTGATTTTCCAAATGCATTCTAATAACAGACATCAAACAAACATTATTTAAAGTTTTTAAACTCAGACAAACATTTTATCTTAAATTTTTAAACTTGTCTTGTCATCTGCTACTTTGGTTCTGAACATTAACACGATTTGGATTTGCTACTTCATAGACACCATTAAACATCTACATGATCTTGTGCTACATATATTGACTATAGCCTTGAATGCACTTTAATTTTTAGGAGAAAGTAGATAGAAATAGAAATTAAACTAAGAACTTTAAGAACTTCAATATGAAAAATAGTAAAAATATGAATGGAACATGAAATATCATATGTTATGGAACAAAAGAGAGAGAGGAAAAATGTACCTGATACATCTAATAATTTTTCATTAAAAAGTAAAGAATATTCATACTGAAAATACAAACTTTATCAGTATTTTTTTTTCTTTCACACATTACACTTATATCTCTATTTTTTGTCATTCCAAGAATAGTATTGTTTTTATTTTCTAAAATGGCTTACTTAAAAAAGTGACCATAATTTTTTATTATTTAAAATTATTAAGAAATGTTTAAAATGATATAATAGTAGAAATGACAAAAAACAAAACCTTTCTTCTTGGTTTTCAAGATTTAAAAAACACAATGGTTATCAGGGATTAAAAAGAAAGTTCATAGAATTGAATGAGAAATCCATTAGCATATTTGATAGGAAGGGTAAAAGATTTTATAGCAAATTTTTTAGAAGGATTAACTTAAATACAGTGAGAGCATTGCATTGGCTAGACAATACTTTCAGTTCTCTGTTAAATAAAACTGTGAAATCAAACTGGTTAGGATTATAAGTCAGCATCAGAACAATGACAAATTATTCCTTATATGTAATTTAGGAAATTTTATTTTCCTTTGGAAAGTTAACTTAAACAATTTCCTGATTCATGAAATCTACTATGTAAGATTTCTGCCTTCCTAGACTGTCCATGGCTCATAAAGTACATTTTTGAGTATCAGTATCAGTTCTTTGTTTTCTTTATTGTTTTTTTTTTTGCAATAACAATCATGGTTCATTTGGTAGATAAAATTTGGTACACTCAATTATGCTGTTGTTGTATGCTGCCAGAACAACTCCAATTCTTTAACTAAAATGAAGTGCTCACTTCAATATCCATAGCTCATTATGACAAAAACAGACTTAATTTTGTCTGACTCTACACATCCACTTCCAGAATACTGCCCCAAATACTGGGGCCATAAAATATCTTATCAAACTATTGAACCCTGTATATCACAGGAAATAAAACACTTTCACTTATCTCAACCATATTTTATCTATTAGTTGTTTTGTCATGTCTACTTTTTTCTTGTTAATGGCAAGCTCATCATTAGACTATTCTTCTGTCATCAACTGAACATAAAGGACTGTCATTGTATTAGTTTTGAAGAGATACATCATCAGTAAAGCAGATTATATTGTAGACAGCTATGATCAACACAGCCATTTTATTAATATTTCTTTATTGAAACAAATCTGAATATCATTTTCTATCAGCCAATCACTACTTAGTATTATTATTTACAATATTTTGAGGGTTACATAAAATTTTAGCCAAAACATTGTGATGATAATAACCAAGAGAAGGGCACTAGTCTGAGAAATCAGTGTTTAATAATTATAATTCCTCATTTAAAAATCAGACAATGCAATGATCTTTCATTAGAAAATAGATTAGTATTTTTATTACCTGAAGAGTGCATCAGACTCCAAAACATAAACTCTTAGAGGATGAATGGAAGTCAAAATTGTATAGATTCCAATGTCGAATTTTCTGAAAAGATGATAAAACTCACATTTTGTTTTCATAAACATCACAAGAGGCGATTCCATTTATTCCCAAACAAGTACCATCTTTATTTAGAAAATCAAGTTGCAGTTTCCTAAAATATGCTCTCAATTTTTAAATATTCCATAAAACTTTTATTTTTACACTTTTTGTTATCACTATAATAAACTAATGACTTTTGAAATGAATATAAAGTCAGTTAAATACTATATTTCCAAACTGAGTCAGTATTTATATATTGATAATATACAATTACAGTAGAGCTTTGGTAATTTCATGAAGACTTGAAACCCTAGCAGCTCACCAAATGTTTTATTTGATATCTATATATAAAAAAACATAAAAATCTCGTATTTTCTAAATTATAGTGATTGTTAAATAAGTATTGGTTTAATTTTCTGTTGATTTATCAGCTTTTCTTTCTTATATTTGATCTGAATGAAAATAGTTCATCTGAATGCTAAAGCAGACATCCATTTTATGTTCAATAAAATGTATTACATTATTGTACAATTGGTGTCATTGTTTTTTCTTTATGAAATGATTCTTATTGACATGTTTTTTAAGTAGATCATTGTATTTTCAAATAGATTTTCACTATTTCATAATATTACTAATTAAATTATTGCTACTTAATTTCTACAATAATATTTTTTATTGTTTCTACTAATTTTTCTTGCTTTAAAATTTAACTGTTTCATTTTTTTGTATATAATTAAATGTATCTAACTAAATAAAATTAGAAAATCTAAGGAACCAAACTGCTTACTGTCCATCAATCAACAAGGGATTGGAAATATACTCTTGGATAAAAGATCCACTTTTTGAGAGGTCCAGTTCTGAAAGCAAAATATATTTATTGAAATAATTTTAGGATAAATATACACACCAGTGCATATTAATAAATATCTGTTAGAAAGTTGCTCACAGTTTGTGTTAACAAAATTAGAAAAATAAGATTTAATTTCTACCACCTTTAAGCAGATAACTGAAATTGCTACTTTTTTTAGGTAGCAAAGTTAAAAAAGTGATACCAGTTAACACATCTTAATATTTAAATCACTAAAAAACATAGAAGTTTCATTTATAGTTGCATTTGTTCTTTTTTCTTGTAAGAGAAGAAATGGTTTCATGATCAATATATTTGTTGCTTATCTTCAGTCTGTTACTGAAAATTTTATCAGTCAAACATTAAAATAAAGAAAAACAAAAAACAGCAATTTAGTAGTTAACAGTGAAAAGTTAGTTGTCCATAAGTATTGGGTAACTGGAAACAAATCCATTTGGTTTATTAAGTAAAAATAAAAGACTGAAAATGAAAAACACTGTAAGGTGAAAGTGAAAAACACTGTTTCTTTCACTATTTTATCATATTTAAGACAAATTCATAATTCCATCCTTCCAGAAATTATCTTTCTCAGTAAAGATCTCTGTGAAGATATTTGAATATAATAAGCAAATAGTTACTTTTCTTCAGATGTGCAAAGGCCACAACAGTATGAATATATATATATATATATATATATATATATATATATATATATATATATATATATATATATATATATATATGTGTGTGTGTATATGTGTGTGTGACTATTAATTATAAAGAGAAGCAAATGCTAATACTTTCAAGAAATCTATATGATAACAAAGTCAATAGGATCAGAATTGCTATCTAAGTAGTCCTGGCTACACTGATGATAGTTAAGACATTATACTGCCACTGCTAGAATGAAAAAAGTTGTATGATTGCAAACTGGTGACTCAAAAGAAATAATTTCTATCAAAAGCTGGATGTAATGTGTCCCTCATGGTTCACATAAAATGGAAGAATTGTATTTTGATGAAATAAATAATAATGAGTGATATGAGACCAAAAAAGAAATTGGCTATAGCTGTAGAGATAAAATTTATATCAGTATTGCAAAAATTTTAATGCAAAAGGTCTAAATATTGTGAATTTAGCAACTTATAAAAAGTTAATAGAATAAAAAATATGAAATTATATAAAAATTAATTAAAGAGGTAAATTTGAAAATAAACCAGATAATTCATAATTATTGCATGTATAAAATCTGATGTAAAAAAATACCAAAATAAAGCCTGTTTATAATAAAGATACATGTATAAAATTTGTTTTTCAAAAATTTGTATAAAAAGAAGCACAAATTTGATGGTCTTAAAACTCATCAAAGTGTAACATTATTTTGTTTGCTGGTAAATAATAAGGGCTTTTTAATAGCAAAAACGATATACTAATAAATAAACTACCATGAAAAGGGTTAATAGAATTTGGAACAATTTTTTTTAAATTGGTCTTTGCTGGATGGTTGAGGTGACAGGCACAGAAGAGAGATCAAGGAAGGAGTCAGAGCTGCCCGCACCCACTGAAGGGTAGCAGGCACAGACGAGACAACAAGAAGGGTGAAGGAGCTGCCCACACCCATTAAGGAGTATATGGTGAACAGTCACATAGAAGCAAGAGTGGCTTGCATCTGGTGAAAAGGAAAATAAGTGTCTTACCTCAATGTGCAGCACATGGCATCAACATTTTGCTCCTTGAAAATGGCATTACTCTCCCATTTAACTATTCCAGCAATATGTGCTGTAACAGGGTTTTTTTTACAGTTTCGCATGGTTTAACCAATAGCAAGTCGTGTGCTGATTGGTCAGACCGAAGAAGGCTATTTGCCTGGGTAACTGAGAACAAAAGCAAAGACTGCTGACTGGTTCGTTGGCCGCAGTGTTGCCCTGATAAAAGAGGGCTGAAGCAGTGAGAAGGCAGAATAGTTTTACATTGGTGAAGTGTGCGGAATGCAAGAACGGTGGATTGAAGAAGCGGTATCTTGTATTGTATGAATGACATCTGAAGAATAGAGACTCATTTAACTACTGTAGATGCTAAATGGAGGAGGAAGAAGCTGTGGGCAGAATCATGCCTACAACCTTCACCCAAGAAAAGGAGGGACCAGAGACAATGAAGACGACAAGTGGAAAAAAGACGAATTCCCCAACTGCGTCACACCTCCACACCAGTTTTTGGCAGTAAATAAATACGAATGCTGCAAGCAAATTCAAGAGATCACCTGGAAAGTCTATTCTGGCCACCGAGTGCTAGACAATGCACATGACTATCTGTTGATGTGAACCCCCAACATTAACCTTGAGCCAAACTTAACCAAGTGTCATCATCCAATTTAAGAAACGGGTCGGGTCGAGAAACATCTGCATGCTAACACCTAGACCCTAACAACTATTAACCAACCATTGTATGCAATACTTGATATAAAAATAGTATATATATATATATATATATATATATATATATATATTATTTTGAGTGTTATTTTCCTCCTGTTTTACTGTGCATCTTTGTCCCACTTGGACCAACCCAATATGAAGATACCTATGATGAGTGAATCTTGGCTTCCTTATGATCAACCTAATCACAACGTCAGGTAAGGCAGGTCAGGATCGAAGAGATCATTCCATCGATCAGCTGCAGTATTAGACATCTTGGACAATCAGGGAGCTACAATTGGTTCTCGTGAACCATAAGATTGACTCTGAAGGCATTACAATTGGTGCTGACCAGGATTGGCCTGAGGTTGGCCATGACCAAACCAAGAATCCAGTCAACAGAAAGGAAGGAAACAAGAAAGGAGTGAGAACTGGTGGAATTTGGTTATTTTGATCATATGATTCTAATAATACACTCCATAATTTTTTTCTTCTCGTCCCCAGATAAACTGACAGTGACCCAGGAACAAGTGACAGGTAGGACACTTTTTGTTTTTCCCCTGAAATTTCTTGATTTTTTATTGTTGCATCTCACCAAGACGATTTGCTATTTTATTTCAATTTTCTGATTTGTCTCAATTTGAATCAATTTATTTAGCATGAGTGACTATGGGTCAGAGAGATCTGAGGTAGTAGAGGTTGAGGACGAGGTGGCGAGGCAACAACCATAGAATAGCCTGAGAGCGATATCAGGAGGTCCCCAGGTTCCAGCCTTTGGGGGGGGGCGAAAGAAATAAAAGATTAGCTCTTGTCAATCAATAAAACTAAAATTGTTTATCGTCTCTCTGACCAAGAGCCTATGTATGTGATGTGGAATACCACAATAGGGAAGGTATTGGAGTTCATTGGTCAACTCTTATTAGGGGACCCACCTGACTTGGAAGAAGTTGGAAGAGCAGAGTTTGCCGATGAAGGGACAGCTAAAGGCCATGAGGGCCCTTCTGAAGTTAACCCAGTTAAAGGATGAGACCTCCAGAGAGTTGGGGACAAGAGTAGAACAACTGGCTAGTTTGGCTTTCCCAGAAGCCCAATTAGCTGATCTGTATGCCACAATATCCTGAAAGGATTTTTTGAACCCACACCCAGTAGTTCTGGCTTGGTCTGTTGGACCTGTGGCAATTAGGGACACAGAGTGGTAGATTGTCCAACTTCAATGTTTACCAGTGCACGAGATGCGGCAAGAAGGGACACAAAATCAAGTGGAGCGGGCTTAAGAAGGGTGCCTCACCACCCCAGACAAAGAAGGCTGACCCTGGAAAATGGAACCAGGGAAATGCCACAGGGCCACCCCCAAAATAAGAGGGAGGCTGACCCATGTAAGAAAGAAAGGAGAGAGGTGTTGGGCATGGGGTACTCAGATGAGAAAGGCGAATGGGGAATCTCCATAATGATAATGATATGAGTACTACTGCCAGCACCCATGGCCAGAGAACTGAGGTCCCAGGAGAAGGAGGAGGGCCAGGGTGTTTTCTTTATTAATACAGGAAAAAGAGCTTTCTTGTAAAGCAGTAGTAGTAGAGGGAGTATAAGTGCTTGAGGAATATGGGGTGGATAAGGAAGGCAGATATAGAAATAACCCAAGTGGATGGGACCCCTATGAAGATAGGAGGGATAGTGAAACTCCTAGTGAAAATAGGAGGGACGAAGACCATCTCGAAGTTTTATAGGTGATCTTAGGTGAAGATTGGCTTTGTTGTCAACCCCACTGTATTAACAGTGAATGGTGAAAGGATGCCATTGGAGAGGCCACCTGAAGGGTCTATGTCAGTGGTAATAGAGGAGGATATAAGACTACCCACTAGAACTGCAGTGTTTGGAAGGGATAGGCTGGTGACAGGGAAGAAGATAAGGAAAGAGGTTCTCCAGGAAGAAGAGAGCCCTGAAGAAAGTGAGATAGTCCTGTGTGAAACAGTTGTGGAGGCAGCAGAAATAATGCCCATACAATTGGTAAATCAATCCAGTAAAACAGTGAAAGTGAAGAGAGAGGAAGAGGCAAGAAGGGCCCTGCCTCTGAGGACTTTGCAATGGGTGAAACTGAACAAAAAGAAGAGATGCATGAAGCAGGTGAAGGAAACAGAAAATGAGGAAATAGTGGCCCTTGATAGGTTTAAGGCCATATTAAAGGACCTGCTAAGAGATAACCAGAATGTGGTGGCCAAATCAGATAAAGAATTGGGCCAGACTAGCACGGTAATGATGAGAATTGATATGGGTGACCACCGCACCCATACATAAGAGACCACTGGTAGAATAGGCAGTTAAGGATATGATGGAAGCAGGGATGATAGAAAAGTCAGAATCTCCCTGGAACTTTCCCATAGTAGTATTAGTAGACAAAAATGATGGCAGGCACCTGTTCTGCGTAGACTTCAGAAAACTGAATGCAGATTCCAGACTGTTGACAGTGCCTCTGCCACTGACTGATGATATACTGGCTTTGTTGGGGAAGGCTAGGTACTTCTCCACCATAGATCTAAGATTAGGGTACTGGCAGGTAGCCCTGGAGGAAGCAGATAGAAGGCTGTGTTTGTGTGTC